CAACCACTTACTATTACAAGATAAAGACTCTCAGATGGAAAACCAGAAGGCCAAGAGAGTAAGTAGTTGGAGATGGCGGGGAGGAAGAATTCCTAATTCTTAATCTGTGCTGTGCGTTCTGCATTCATGACAAAGATGACAAGATATTGGTATTAATGGAGGAACATCCTCGCCTCATAACCTGAACATTCGTATCTTTCTGTGCCATTTCAGCATGATTGACAGACGGGGTTTCCTGCCGGCAGATGAGTCTGCCCAGACTGGCAGTGCTGACATCGAGCTGCCCACCCTGGCCGCTAAAAGCGAGATAAATGTGGTAGGAGCCGCTTTTGCTTTGCAGAAATCCCCCTCTCCCGTGCCTGCACCCTCTGACTGCCACTAAAACTCTTTCTGTGCCTGAGAGAAACCTCGTTGCCTGCTGTAGCCCCAACCCAGCATCTGTCTGCTGCCTGTTGTTGACTGTCATGTAAAGGTTTGGTGTATTAACACTCTAGTCAGAGGTTTATCGCACAGTGTTATGCCTCTTATTGGAAGTTAAAGGGATAGTTGAACGTTATGGCGCATTTGTTTGGTTTGGTTGGTGGAGTTTAAAAAAAAAGAAGCTTATTTCTATTATTCTATTTCTTATTTTAGTAAAGAGCCGCAATGTTTTAGCTCGCTTTACTTATTAATTTATTATGATTATGAAAGCCAGATAGGGTACTAGTTAGGAGTACTTACTTGCCACTCAACACCTGTTTTGGTTTTAAACCGAAAGCTGAAGGACCTAGAAGAACATCAAATGAAGAGAATGTATTTGGGGGCTTTTGAAGCAGTACAATCACAGTTTGAAGACTGCTTAAACTGGGTTACTTTTTACATTTTTAATATTTTATGACAACATTATTTTGAAACTGAGTTGTCCTATCTTTAAGAACTCCTCATTAACTAAATATAAAAAAATTCAGAGAAGTCTGTTTATGGTCTGTGTGTTTGAAAGATGAGAGCAGGAGTGGTAGACAAGTATTTTGGATTTCTAAATTGCTAACTGTCAGTATTGGTGTTCCTATACTGGTTAGACTCTACAAAGGACAAACTATTCTATTTGTTATGTTCTACTAATTCTAATGGTTGCCAAACCATGTTTTTATTGATATATACTGAGGTGTCAAAACTCATCATTAAGGGTAGAGGGGGATGTCATCAGATGCTTTCTTAATGGGCGCAAGAGTTAAAGGAAGAGTTGGGGGAGGGATATAATATTTTTTTTTATAAATGATCGAGGGGCACAACCACACACATAGTCCATCCACTTATCCTTTTTCAGGGTCGCAGGGGTGGGGGGGTGGAGCCTATCCCAGCTGCGTTAGGGCGAGAGGCAGGGTACACCCTGGACAGGTCGCCATTCTAACACATGGACAACCATTCACACCTATGGGAAATTTAGAGTTTCCAGTTAACCTATCCCTACTAAGTGCATGTCTTTGGACTGTGGGAGGAAGCCGGAGTACCTGGAGAACACCCACGGAAACACAGGGAGAACATGCAAACTCCACACAGAAAGACCCTGGGCGTGACCTTCTTGCTGTGAGGCAACAGTGCTAACCGCTGTGCCACCGTGCTGCTCATACATGATTTATGACTTCGTAGAGGGACCAATAGAGGTATGTTAATTATCATGAAGTCCCTGCCCTGATGATATTGAGGTCTGCTGCTAGCAGCACTCTTTGAATCGCGCATTACTGAATAATTATTAAGTAGAATTGTCAAAGACGCAGACAATTAAATTAGAAAAAAGAAAAAAACTCATAAAGACCAACAGTAGCCAGTCACCCAGTAACACCTCTTAATCTTGTTTGTTTCTTAAAAAACCAAAATGTTAACGTATTGATTTATAATTTTTGTTGAAGGCATATCTTAGAAATATAGATGACAAACATGAAAAAGTAGCTCTAATGTCCAGGTTTAAATAAGAGAACTAATGATGCTTTGGCAGGTGCGTATTTTAATTCAGGAAATAGTCAACTGAGGTCCTGTTTCACGACTTCTTACTGCATTAAGCTAAGGTGAGAAA